CCCCTCTCCAGAGGTGGCAGGTTGCACAATTGTGGAGTGTCCGCAGTGCTTTTTGTGGTACCCAAGTGAATTTAATCGGTGGTCTGCCCGACTTTCTGGGCGATGTCACGTGTATGTACTCATTGGAAGACTGTGAATAATCGTGCCTTCATACTAAACCCAACAATGGGAGGAAATCTCTTAGACAGAGAAGAACAGCAGGGCACGCGTACCGGCAATAGTCATCGCGTTTGAAGCGGGCTTATTCAAGGGGTCCAGGGGATCTGTGCCGGTCCTTTTGCGCAGCTCCTCACGAAGATGGGCCTGGAGGGCAACAAGTTCGGATATGCCCGCCGCAGATATATGCCTACACCACATCTTCGCTTCGGCTGCAGACCTCGCTGCCATGAGAATGGACGCATCACCGGACTTAAATTCTAAAAAATAAAAAGGTGAGAAGGGGATAGAAATACCGATTTTGAATGCGTGTTGAACGTCAGCTTCGGAAACAAGAGATACAGAGCAGTGCTCTAATAGAATGACGCCAAGAAGATCAGTTGAGGTTCGGTCGTCGGTGCGAAGAATGACCAGAAGATTTCCTTTTAGGCGACACCAGTGTTCTTCGAAGGCTAAGGATGGGGGAGGGTGATCAAAAATAATTGTATATCTACATCCGGTGCGTTTGAATAAAGCATCGGGCTTTTGTTTTACTAGAAGAATCCCCTCGAAAGTAGAGTTCCATTGGGCCGACACGGTGCCGATCTGTTTCGCATTAAACCTAAAAATGAAGGAAATCACGCTTCGCTTAAACGACTATTGTGCGAACAGACAAACCGTCAGTCTAAATTGTAAAGACACCCCTGAATGCCAACGATGTGAACACGGTTTAAGAGCCAAAAACCCTACAATAAAAGGAACCCCCAAGTTTGAAACTGGCTAGGATTCCGTCGCACGCAGAAAGATTACGACGGTGAGGATCGTACTCCAAGGATACCTGGGCGGTCTTCTTGTGGGAGGCTTCTTAGCGACTTTCATGCCCAGAGTATACATCAGAACCGATAAACATGGCCTTTAGTGGCTCCAGTTATGACTGCACTTACAGCTTCGAGACTGTGATGACGCATGGCAAACTGAAGGGCAAATGAATTTTTCCCAAAGAGGAACTTGACTCTATGAGTACAACTGATTTTCTGAATGGCGACCGGAGGCACCCTTTGCCTGCTATCCAACCTATGCATTTGGCTATATGGCAACGATTATCCTTCTGTTCCTCGACTGCAAATGCAAGACTTTGCTCTCAGTCCTGCGCATGTCGGAAATGGTTTATTTGTCCGTTGCATTTCTTAATCGAGCAGGGGATTCAAGAACACGTAGGCAACGTGTTGCACTCTGGTTAAAGAGGCAAATGGGTCGGCTAGTCCGCATTGGTCAGATTGGAAGGTGCCAAATAACGTCTCGAGGAAAATAAGAAACGAGAACCTCGTCAACAACCGATTATGGGGAAAACTGGGAATTCTGAACGCCTTCTAGTCTCGCAACTGAAATGATAAATTCAGCAGGACTCTTCAAGAATTCGAGAATTATGTTCAACGATCTGACCTGATTGCAGAACAAAACACAGGCATTTTTTCCCAGCATCTCAGGATAGGACCCTACCAGGATGTCGTCGGTCTTCAGTGATTGCAACATTGAAAAATGTATTTAAAATTCAGAAGACTAGTTGGCAAACGTACGTGTGCCTTCTTTAAATTCTCGTCGGGCCAGTATATTTATATGAAAACGGGGTGCAGGTAAAACGTCTGAATGATACGAGAAATGGACAACAGTCCGTCGTTTCATACAAGCAGGTTGTGAGAATAGGAGGATGTAATAAGAGACAGTGAGTTAGAAGACAGCGAGGGTTAAGGGGAAGGGGAGAGGATGCGGAGACGCGGAGAAGTGCGTACAGTTAACCGACAACGCCATTCTCGCACGCATTGTTGATCCCGGACATTGTGTAGACCCCAACGCAACCTTCCGTGCGATTTACAAGGTCCTACCGAACCACCCAAAGCCACTGGATCAGCGTATGCTAGCAACAGCAGAGGCAACTGCTGTCAGGCCACGAAAGCCGGCCTTGTGCACGCATGCTCATAAGCATGTAAGGGAACTGGGACATGGTAGTCGATATGAACGGGAAAACCATAAATCCGTACAGAAAGGTACAATCGGAATTTTTGTGGGGATTGGACGCACTCCAGATTATGCCTCTTAAGAGTGTCCTTAAGCCGCACTCCTGACAAGGAGAATATAAGATTCTATGGTGGAAAATGAAAAACGTCCAAGCAACTAATGGTTACCAAGCCTGGTCAAGAAGTGGTACAGTTAGACTATAAATGAGGAGTGTAGAGTACACGAAAATAAGTTTAGTATAATGACTTCGTTATAAATACCTCATTGGCCGTCGCTGCGGTTGACTTGCCGGCTAGAATTGCGGTCACTGACCGAGAAGTCGGACTCCGCGCACACAACGATAGTGCAGTAAAAGTCCTTCAATGCTTGTCTACGCAATTCATAAAGCAGTATGCTTGCGAATGAAAACGCAGAATGGTTCGCGTGATACAAATGAACTGCAAGTCCGCAGACTCGAGAGAAACAGGAATATTTTCTCACTGGTGATCATCCCAGGAATTATTGACCTCCCTCATCTCAAAACACCAGAGGGGTGTCTGCAAGCGTTAACCATAGCAAGAAGCAAACTTCTATTCCTTGATAGACGATGTAAAAATCTTCATAAAAAAGGTTTTCATATATTTTATACAGTTTTTGTTCGTTCCCAGCACAAACGCCAGATCTGTGAATTGGAAGTTTTGAACAAGTTCGAGGTCAGTTAAAAGCATATGTTAGGTTGATGCACACGATATCTGTGTCTGCGTAAGGCGTTAAAAGTGATTGAAACTTCTTAAGTTATAAAAGAGATACTAGTTTGGATCGTTCAACAATAGTAGCAAATATTGAATGTTTGACAACAGAATGACGGCAATTGCGCTCGGAAGACATCCCAAATGTCTGTTGAATTTTTATGTCAATCTAATTATTTTTCACTTTACATTGGTTTCAAAACTCTGGAAAGGACCAAGGCAGTACTCATCTGTCGTATCAGGTCTGAGACCGCACACATTTTAGCACGCGTGTGGCCGGGACTGTGGTCAGAATTGGTCTGTATCTGCTTGGTCACTCCGAACCTACCTATAGTAAAGCGTTAGATTTCAGTAACCGTGGAACTTCGCACTCCCAATAATTGGCTGGATAACGGTCGACCAAACGCCCATATCAAAATGTAGCATTTGACGCTCAATTTTAAAAGGGTAACTGGTCAGTTCGATCGGTGACGTGGCTATATCTCCTGCCACTCGCGCTTTGCGTCCGCGAATTTTTTTCTTTAAAATGCTTGTTAGTGTTTGTCATGCATTTGTAAATGACCCGTCCCTAGGAACGCCGCCCATCCTCATTTGTAAGCTAAGGCAATCTCGTGTGTTCATACAGGCATTCATTAATCTTGTGCGTAAACTAACTTAGTTCTCCGTTAAGTGAACCTCCCGCCCACGAGAATGTCCCTGCTATGCGGAGGGATTGAAACATGCGCAATTCGACAATGTGATGGCACTGCACATGCCCCCCCCCGCCCCCGATATCCTTGTTCGAGGAGAAATCTTTTAAGGTCGTCAAATGATACTTTGGATTGTTGCGTCAATTGATTCCTTGAGTGCCACTTCCGCCGCTGTCCCACACTTTCTTAAAAACAGACTTTAAAAGCTACAGAAGCAGCTTAAGGATCGTTCTCTGAGCTCGTTATCAGTTCATCTAAGAATCGTCGAAATATTTGAATTAGCATCGAAAATGAGGCTCGCGAGAAATAGGCGCAGCGAGTCTTTAGCTATTAATGACGTGAATGCCTCTAAATCAGTTGCTCAGATCTTCCGTCAAAGGTCATCAGCTAAGTCCCACCAAGTCATTCCGCCTTTGCTTAGTACCAAAGATTCCCTCATCACAGAGGAATCAGGCAAAGCAGAAATGTTAAATTCTTTATTTGCCAAACATTTCACCATCGAAACTGACCCAATCGCTTTAATTCCTCCCTTGTCTGATGCATCTCTCAGCATCATTAATTTTACTCCTGAAACTTTTCAAAAACTGATAGGCTATCTTCCTAACTTTGACTCAGTAGGTACGGACAATATCCCAAACTCTTTCATAAAACAGCTACGCGATTTTCCTCTTTTGCTTAGCAAACTCTTTTCAGTATTCCTCGTAAATGGCTTCTTTACTGACTTTTGAAAAACTTCTATTATTATTCCTGTATTTAAGTACGGCTGTCGTTCTGACGCTCAGAACTATCGAGGTTTCCATAAAACACTTTCTCTCGTCAAAGCCTTTGAAAAAATTTTCGCATTAAAAATAACCCGACCTTTGCATAGCCAATCAAGTTATTAGCCCTTCCCAACATGGTTTTTTTACCAGATCGCTCTTCTAAAACATGTCATCTGTCTTTTCTCGAGCTACTTACTTCTGTTCGTAATGACCATCTATCTGTTGTCGTTATTTATTTTGATCTTAGTAAAGCCTTTAATAAAGTGTCACATACAAGACTCGTGGTTAAATTAGAAGCTATGGGAATTCGCAGTCCACTAATACACTTTATCAAGTCATACCTGTCTAATCGTAAACAAAATGTTTTGGTGGGATCTTCATTTTCCAGTGAAAGCCGTATTATGAATGGTGTCCTACAAGGCACCGTTTTTGGTCCTCTTTTGTTCTTGCTTTACATAAATGATATCTCGGCAGCAGTTAAACATTCTCAATCATTTATTTATGCCGATGATCTCAAATGTGTATATTCTTTCCAAAAATCTGCGAGCCCTCATTGTCTGGAGCAAATACATGCTGACTTGCTTGCTCTCTCATCTTGGAGCTCAAAATGGCTAATGGAATTCTCTCCGTCTAAATGTCGCTATATGTGTTTTGGACCTGAGAGGATACCCCAACCAGTGGTCTTTCAAGGCACACCTATGATTGAATGTACCACCATCAAGGATTTAGGTTTAAGCTACACTAATAATCTTAATCTCTCGCCACACGCTGGCAGAATTACGGCCAAAGCTGCCCAGATATGTGGCTTCATTTCTTACAATTCCTATCTTCCTGAAATTAAATTAAGACTCTATCGTATGTTTGTAATTCCCATTCTCGAGTATTGTTGCCTATTCATTAGTTAGCGGAAGAGGATAGTCTATTAAAAACTGAAAATGACAAAAGACATTTTACTAGAAAACTTTTAGGCAGGGAACATCCAAATATCTCCTACTCAGATAGGTGCCAGCTAACTAACCTAAAATTGTTATGTGTTCGAAGACTAGAAGCAGGCTTCTGTCTCCTCTTTCGCATTAATAATTGTTCAAATCTTCCTCGGATTTCAGCACTTACCCCTAGTAGTCGCCCATACAATCTTCGCAACTCTTCCCTGATTATACCTCCTCCCGCTTCCTCCACCTATAAGCGTTATCTTTTTTCGCTTCCAGGTATACTTTCCTCCGGAATAAGCTTCCAATAAATATAAGATCTTCAGATAATCTACATACTTTCAAGAGAAGGCTATGCCTTTATCTAAATACTGATTCGATTAAACTTTTATTTTCCTCATCCTACCCAGACAACTTTCTCTATGACATTGAGAAAGGACCACCGGGAATTTAAGATGCCGCCACTAAATTTCCGTATCTGCTCATATTTCCTTCCTTTGTGAGTCGTATCGCTTCCTAAGATCCCTCACCAGAAATGTTAATTTTTCCAATTTTTCAGTTCATGCATCGTGCCCTAACAGAATGCGCTCCATCGACGCTCTTGGCGAAGCCTTCTGTATTCGCCATATACTAGTAGTCTGGTCGCATCTCCCTTGCCCCCTCCTCGGATGGACTCGGATGAATGTAACCTATCGCATCTGGGTTCCCATCGCCTCGAGACTGGTTTTCAATTTCGCCACTTATTTGCCTTATTCAAGGCCACATACAGGCCAGTCCTGACTGACCCGCCTACTTATCCTTTATGAAATCCGTTATACAATGCCATATACAGCTGACATTTATTTCTGCCCTGACGATATCCGATTATAATCCATTATATACCGCAACATGCAGGCCAGTCTTTCCCGCATTTTTCTGTTATTATTTTTTATCGAGGAGTTTTTTTCTTCTGTAAAATTAATCCAATCATTTTTAAATTTTCATTTGGAATTTTTTCTCACCCCTTGCTAGTCATTTTTCTTAACGGACTTCTAATAAAAAACTATGAATTGCACTTTGTACAGATTTTGCCTACCACGTCTACAATTCGCATGTACATTTATTTTTGCTTGCTTTGATGGGATCTCGACGGGTCTTTATTAAAAATTATTATTATTATTATTATTCTCATGGCGGCTTCCCCACCCCAAGAGGTACATATCTTCCGTTTTACATCTCCGTAATGCACGTTGCCTACCAACAATTTTCTTTTTAATTAAGCCCTCACAATATTTCAAAGACGGAAAAGAACCTTCCTTAATCTTTCGAACTTTAAGATCAACCGACCATTATTTAATAGTTTTATTGAAGCATGGCCTTCGACCGAGTATCGCATATGCGCCTTTTCGTAAAACACGGAGCCTTAGACAGACCGTAAGTTCTTATCGACTTCATTGGAGTCTGCCTATCCAACCACTAGTACAGTATCGTTATTAGTACCTGTTACTCAACACCTCACCCGATCACAAGAGACGTGCTTCGGTTTTCGATGCTGGATCTGCGACTCTTCCTAATCTACAGTAGTGATACCTTATAAACGATCGAACATTTGCAAACGTTTCCTTTATTCTGATGCGTTTATTTCATAATGAAAAAAATCGTTGCGGCAAAGAAAGTAATTCAGATTTAGATTTTTTGGAAACGCAGGTCGACTCAGTCAGAGATTTCTTTGTTTAATGGTAATATCGCCACTTTTGAAATATTTCACCATAAAGGACCTACATTTAAACTATCCGAATAACCTTGGCTTATCATTGATTCTGGTCGAATCTCTGCGAAGCTTGTGCAGATATAACGTCAAAGTTTGCATGTTTGTTTCATATCGTACAACTTTCTATTCTGAAAATACATCTAAGGCCTTAATACATTTTTGCCCTTTTCTTGTCCAATGAATGTCTTTTACCGTAGTGAAATCGGAACTGTTCCGCAGCTTTTTATTCGATGAGTCTTTTCTCGTGTTGCATCCAGTCTTTCTTTTACTAAAAGGGTGCCACCTAGCGAATCATGAATTCTGATCGATAAGAAGCATCATATCGGCTCTTTGTTTCTTGTGTCGTGGTACACGTTGTCTTACTCGTCATGCATTGACATTCGGACTCCAGAGGATCTACCTTTTGAC